CCTCGCTGAAATGTTACATTAGTAACTGTATTTGATTGCCACATAGCCTGGCACCCAGGCCCCCCACTGTGCTGTTACAGAGCATTATTAATGCGGACCCCTTCGGGGGCTGTAATTTGTGACTCAATTTGCCATAAAATTGTCCTAAGCGTCACCTTAGTAATCTGAGATCATGTGACCCGTGATGCACATTGAGCTAAAAGATGGCACCTCTTAGAAATGAATGTCAAATTGTCCCCAGTAGTAAAAAGGAAGGAGTCATTGTAGCTGAAGTGCATTTCATGGTGCCTCAGAGACAATGAGGGGTTCAGATGAGGCTGCTCCGCCTACATGCCTTGAGCTGGGCCTGCAGGCCCCAGAGCGGAGCCTTCCCCAGTGACTGTCCCCATGGCAGCTCACACTGGTCAGCCCAGCACAACCCCGCAAGCTTTAACCCTAAATCTATACGTGTCCCAGCAAAGGACTTTTATTCTGCTTCCAGATATTAAAGGCAGTTTAGCTATCAAGTCTGGCCAAACAAAAGGTTGTGGGGCTAATCATTAGAAGCATACAGATGAAAACCACACTGAGATACCACCTCACACCAGTCGGAATTGCTATTACAAAAAGTCAGCAAATAACAAGTGTTCGAGACGATGTGCAGAAAAAGGAAGCCCTGGGCGTTGCTGGTGAGAGTGCAGACTGGCGCAGCCACTACAGAAAACAGTGTGTAGGTCCCTCACACAACCGAAACTAGAACTACCATCCAGCCATGTTGGGCTCTTCATGCTTCCGAATGCCCCGGAGAGGGAGCAGACTCCTGCTGTGGTTGGGCTGGTCGGTCCCGATACCAACTTACTGCCATATAATGGGAAGAAGGAGGACCATATCTGAAGCCACGGGATTCTCTGAAGCACATCTCAGTAGTTGTATGTCTAGTTTAATGAAGCAACCCAAAAAGTCAGAACACTAGGGACCTAGACAGTTCAAGATTAAAATCTGAGTCATTCCACCCGGTAAAGGACATTGACCAGGAAAGGTGTTGGCTGAAAACAAGAAGACCACAGAATGGTTGAAGACTGAATTTTTAAATATCAACTCAACTCAAACTGTCAAGAACCAAGAACCATACGAAAGGTTGGCCATGCTTAACTTTACGGCCAGACCTGGTTGATAATGGAATAGAGTTCTTAGACAATTTTTAAAATATGATACATGCCCTGGCCAGTTTGGCTCAGCAGTTGGAGCATGGGCCTGTGGACCAGAGAGTCCCGGGTTTGGTTCCCGCTAGGGACATGTACCCAAAAGAAAGACACACACACACACACACACACACACACACACACAAATAAATAAAATGTGATACAAAGGAACTCAGGAAAACAAGTTAAAGCCAGGTTTAAAAAAAATGACTGAGATTTTAAGTATTACAAAGGGAAAGTCTCCCTAATATATATAAAAACTAAAGATCAAGGGGGCACCCGGGCGGTTTGATTCAGTGGTTAGAGTGTCAGCCTGCAGACCAAAGAGTTGTGGGTTCGTTTCCGATCAAGGGCACCTACCTCAGTTGTGGTTTGGTCCCCGGCCCTGGTCAGGGTCGTGAGGGAGGCAACCAGTCGATGTGTCTCTCACATCGATGTTTCTCTCTCTCTCCCTCCCTCCCTCCCTCCCTCCCACTCTATCTGAAGACAAGTGGAAAAAAAATCCTTGGGTGAGGATTAAAATAAAGAAAAGAAGAGGGCATGAGTCAGGAGACAAGGCAGCTGGTCCAGCACAGTGAGAGGCTCATATGGGATCAGTTGAGTATAAGATTCGGTAGTTCAAGACCATCACTGCCAGTCTAAAGAATTAACTTTGAGTAGAGTGGCCATGGGGAGCCACTTAAGTTTTTGAGCAGGGAGATGGAAGAGGAAATGATGGAATAGGTGTTTTGGGGACATGGCTGGCAGTTATGATGAAGAACAGGAAGAGAGAGACAGCAGGCAAGATCAGTGAGGAGGTCTTCACAGAGGCTGAGGAGTGAGGTGCTGGGGGCCTGCAAAGAGCCTGGGAATGGATAAGGAATAAAAACGGTTGAAATTTTCAAAAGCATTTCAGGGGATGAATAGACAGAGCTCACTCCTTTGATAAAGGAGAAAGGGAAAGTCGGTGACTCTGTTTCCATGAGGAGTAGAGTGGAAGGATGAGCCACAAAGGGCAGCATGGTCTTGAATACCGGTTGGCTGTGCACCAGCAGCGTCCTGATCTCACAAAGGTTATGTGGATACATCTCACGTTGGGGGAGGGGTGCTGCTGGCCCATCTCACCGGCTTTGAGCTCTTACAGACCTCAGGCAAAAGGAGGCTCCTGTGTTTTCCTGAAGCTTCTGCCAATGATCACTTGTTACAGGGTTCGCGGTGCTCCAGAGACAATGCCTAGGATCTTCTCCAGTGGAACGCCAGTGGGCTACACCAGTGAGTGGAACATCACTGCCTGAGTGGGCCAGAAAGCTTTGCAGGACCTAACTCAGCAGAGGGCTCCAGGTAAGGAACTCCTCTTTCGCCCTGCGTGTGGCTGTCGGGCTGGCTCCATCGGGGTGCGGCCACCCTCTGCCTGGCTAGGGGAACTGGCCCAGGGTGAGCGGGTTTCCCAGGCAGCCTTCCTCCCCGGCACTCTTAGCCTTCATGTGGCATGGCTATAAATTATGCCCAGCGTGTTCATTTTCGGTTTAAATGTGTTCTCATCCCAGAGGAGCAACTAATGGCGTCAAGTTACTGATGTGAAAAGCGCCTGCCGCTACGATGACTGTGGATTAATGAAACAGCAGTCGTGGAGGCTGGGATGGCGATAAATCGTCGGCCGCCGGTGACATGAATGCTAGATTCTGTTCTCCGCCCCCTTCCCTCGTCTCCAAATTACCCTGCTGTAAAGCTGCTCGGTAAATATTTACTGTTGCTTAAATGTTTGCTTTCTATTCGAAGTTGGTGCACGCAGGGCCCCTTCCTCGAGGGCCCTTTCTTAGAGAGCAGGGAGATCCTAGGATTGGCTGAGAGGGATTTAAAAACCTATCACGCCGTCTCCAGGAGGCACGAAGGCAAGTCTCTTAAACCAGAGTCATCACTGACTGACAGATTCATTCAGAAAGCAGGCAACCACCGGGTTCTCCCAGTGAACTCTGCTCAGTCGGCATGTAAGGCCACCCCGCCTTCTGCTACGACTTTTCATCTCCTAATGCATTTCAAATGAGGAACCACGACAATTCCCACCAGTGTTTTTGAAAGGTAGCAAGTCTATTTTTCAGTAGCTGAAGGACCCCAGGGGGTCCATTGATGGACGATAGGGAGTTCAAGAATCCTTGATCCTGAAGGCACATTGTTCATATGTAGATGTTTTTCTAGAAAGGTCTATGGATTTTATCAAATTCACTAAATGTTCTGTGACACCAACATAGCTTAAGAGCTGCTGTGGTGAGGCGCGGATGCCACAGTCTCTGCTCTTGGAGTACCCGGGCTCTTGCAGCGGGACCCGGCCGCGGCCCCGCCATGCACAGCCTGAGCCAAACCAGAACTCTCGGGCCCAAACTGCTGACACCCCACACCATGAATGAAGCTCATTCATGCTATTTTGGAGCCGTCTGTTGTGCACTAAAAGCTAACCGATACAAGTACTTGACCCCACAGTGTATGTTTTGAGGACAAGGGCCAGGTCTTATTCAGTCTTTGATTCCCTTTTTCCTAAAAACACAGTAACCGCTCATAGATATTTGTAGAACTGGGTAGAAGCGGTCTTACAAAACGACTTAGTAAGTCAGGAGGAATCCCAGAGCACCTGACTCCAGGCCTCGATTTCTTACTTACAAAATAGGCTTCAGAACCCTTACCTCCTGGTGCTGCTGGGGTGGTTGGCACCGCCGCGTACCTTAAAGACCGGCTTGATGCTCGGGCAGAAGCAAGCTCGTGAAGAGGCTGCGGAACTCGTTCGCATGTAGGACACCGTCCGGGTTTCAGCCGTCAGAGTGACCGCCAGGTGTTCAGCAAGGATGCTGCCATTTCCAGTTGTCAGCTGTCTTGGCTGCAAAATGAGGCTGGTTCCGTCTGGCTGACCAGATGCCGATGTCTGTCATTCTGCAGTCACGTAGTTGGAGGACCAGCCATGACCCCTGAGGGCGGGGAGGGCTCCTGTTCAGGACAGAGGGGCAGGAGTAGCCGCTCTGGGTTCTGCCACCGCCCGGGTATCTCCTTTCCCTGCGTGTAAAATACGAGGTGGATGGCGGGAGGCTACGAGTCTTTCCACTGCATGTCCCAGGGCTTTAGTCACTGCCTGTCTCGTCTGGGCAGGAGCGACCAAACTGCCCACACGCTCACCAGGCAGGAAGAACGTTTACCTTTTTTTTGGTGGAAGAGAAGAGGAGGTTTTCGTATTTGTCTACAGCAGAAATGTGGAAAAGCAAGTCATAAAATTAAGGAATGAGAGAGGAAAAAGGAAAAGAACAAGCTTGCTTTAAGCTGGATGCTGGAACCCTGCTTCCTGCAGGATAATGGAGCCGGTGCGAAGCATATCACAGGGTCAGACCACAGGCCTAGGGAATTAGAGGGAAAAATGCAAGAAAAGCAAGCGTGACGCACACAAAGGCTTGTAAATCCCGAGAATGAGTTACAAGAGAGCCACGAGACATTTCAAAAAAACATTTCTTTCTTTCCCATTAAGACTTCCTTTAACTTTTTCTAATAACTAAAATGACTTTTTCCTAGGATTCAGGAAACGTCTTGTGTTGCAGACGTATTTGGAAATGAATAATAGATTCAGACATCATTGAACACAAATAGTGAAGACAGCACCTGAAAATTCTGCTTCTTGCCCAAATGGACAAAGCCTATAGGGAAGCAAATGTGAAGACATAAATTTGTATTCAATTATCCCTACAGATACCCCAGGTGAATGTTAATACTTATTCTGTCATGCTTTGAATACAATTTTCTATTAATGTTGAGATCTTAACCGTTACAATTACCAACGAGTAAGCAAAGAAAACAATTACCACGTGGCATTTTCAACCAAATTTTTTGTGTTTATTATAATCGTGCTTCTCTACAACTAGTGATTCTTAAGGTTTGCAAACGACGTCTGCCTCATTTACCTACGTAAACACAGAACAGCATTTCCAATAGGGAGGGTCACACAGCAGACAAAGTGGACAGTGTGGTCTCAGTAAGGCGTTCAATCAGGGACGAGCCGTCGGGCCACCTGGCTGGGCTCCTTCAGGAGGCTCTGATGTTGGCATCACATTCTTCTAAGAGAAGAATCAGATCCTCGATCAGTCTGTGCTCTCTGCCGTGTGTCACTCTCATGATATCAAAGGCCTAAAGGGAAAAGAATGATGATGAGATCCCAAAGCAGGCAGGCCCTCGCCCACTCCTCACCTTGTCCCCGTGACGCCAGGCCTGGAGAAGCCCGCAGGTGGACAGTGTGAGCAGCGCCGTGGTTCCCAGGCCAGAACATGCAGGGCCCAGGGTGGATTTTTGATGTGGTGCTTGGAAAGCAAATTCGCTGAGTCATGCTATCCAACAACGAGCTTCAGGGATGGTTAGCATGTAGGTTTGGTGGGCAGCTACAGAGGTTTAAGGGGAGTTAATAAAATGACTAAGTAATTTATATTAAGGCTAAAACACCATGCTCCTACCACCGTGATGTACATTTCCATTTTTGCATGCTGCGTTGAATCCTCATCCATATGCACTATGATGATAATGCACATGTCATCTTTTCATGTCATGTGATGCATAGCGTTGGTATTTTAAACCCTTCATTTATTGTCTGTGTTCAGTCCATCACTAAATTTTGTCAGTTCTACTGCAAAATATTTCTGAAATCTGGGCAGGCTTGTAACCACTTCAATGATAGAGTACAATGGAAGTAATGCTAATGAATTCCAAGGCTAGGTCAAGGCCATGCAGCCTCTGCCTGGAACCATGAGCCTCCATACTGTGAGGAAGCCCAAGCCACATGCACAGGCCACATGTGGGTGATCTGGCTGACAGTCCTAGCTGTGACCATCTGTCACGTCAGTCCAGCTCAGACACCAGAAATGTGTGTAAAGAAGCCTCCAGATGATCCCAGCCACCAGTCGGAAGACAGGAAGAGTCTAGTCTGCCCAAGTGCAACCCCAGGCATGGTGGGAAAGAGGCAAGCCATTCGCATTGCAATCCGTCCAAATTCCTGACTCAGAAAATCTGTGAGCATAAATGGTGGTGGTGCACTCTGCTAAATTTTGGAACGGTTTGTTATAAAGCAATGAAGAACCAGAATACCCCCCAAAATGTTTTTGCAATACATAAACCAGAGATACACAGTGTCCTCCTTCACAGCCCAAATGGAGGACAATGGGAAAGGGAGCAAGATCCATCATATTCCACGTGAAGGTGCCTTCAGGAGACTCATAAAGACGTCACCCTGATGGCTATTAAGCCCCCCAAAAGTACCTGGCACGCAGTCCTATAGCCTCAACCTCGGCTGTATGGTAGTATCAATGAGAGCTTCAAAAGAGGCACCAATGCCCAGACCCCACTCACAATCCTCTGACCCCTCTCTCTAGGGTGAGCCTGGGTCTGGGGATTCTATCGTGCGCTTGGGGCTGCAAACAACTGACAGAGTGAGCTCCCAACAAATAGCAGCAGCTGGTTCACCGTGGACTCACACCAGCATAACTGCCATTTCGATGGCCGTATGTATGACGAAGGCCATCGCGTTCACAGGCCGCCATTCACTCAGCTACTCTTGGAAAAGCAGATGACTTCCAAGTTTGCTATGATGCGACTGATGGAGATTTTCCAGCACAGGACTTCTTGCCTGCGCCCAATATCTGCTGAAGACACAGCCTAGGGTAGAATTCTAGGAATGAACATCTTTAAAGTCAGAGACTTAAAGACCGGGAAGCACCTTGGCAGTCATGTGATCAGACTACCTTTCAGCCTGTGTTCTTGGCTTCTTTTTTTGTCTCTGTAAAAATGTTCCCTTTGTGTTGGAATAAAGGAAAACAGGCAGGCAGAGGGGTTCCAGATTTGGCTCAGAGAGGAGGTGGGGGAGGAAGAGGAGGAAGAGGAGGAGGAGGAGGAAGAGGAGGAGGAGGCGGCGGCGGCGGCCCACCACTCAGGCCCTGGTGCTGCTGGGAGAGAGCTCTGCTCACTGAATCTGGCTGTGATCCTACAGTGACCACCAGGCCCACCACCCCGACATCTCAGCTGGAAAACCAGAAAGGTGGCTAGGACTGAGGTTCTGGGTGGCGGGGTTTGTTAGTAACTCAAGTCTGCCACCCTGCGGGCACAGTGTCTGAGAGCACAGTCGGGCAGGGGTCTGGGAATGGAGAGGAGGAGTTGGGAGCAGGCAGCCAAGCTCTATGGGATCCCTCTGCCCTAAAGACACAACATACTTGTGACGCCACCAGGCATGGGGCAAATGTCTTATGTGTTATTGCTCCCCCACGCCCTCTGCTGGGGTGCTGCCGGGGCCTTCGTCTCCGGGAGCCCAGGTAGGGGCAGAGACCTGCTGAAGGCACGACTGTAAGGAGCCATCCGAGAAACTCCTTCAGGGGAGGCCCTGTCTCTGGACAGCTGGCGTAGGTGTCCCCCCTCCACTCAACAGAAGGCCGCAGGAACTGCTGATCCGGCAGAGAAGGACGAAGGGCCGCAGACACGGCCTGCAAGGCTCTATGCGGGAGCAGGAACTGCCCACCCTGGCCCCACAGGCGGCCTGGAGGAAGGCCAGGCCTAGGCTAGGGTGCCTCCCTCCCCGCCTCACGGAGCCCCGGACCAGCTTCCGTTCCGCCCTGGTAATGCTCCGCCGTTCCTCACCTGCAGAAGGATCGGGGCCTCCGCGCCAGTTGACTCCGAGGCTAGTGACAGTCGTCTTCTACACTCTGACAGGGCAAGGCTGTTCTGCATGTTCCCAAACATTACAGCTCCTATCTTCCTCCCAGTCACAAGTGTCACTCTCCCAGAAGCCAGCGTTAACTGCGGCTGATCCTGGGTCTTCCCATCATCAAAGGGGCAGACTACTCATCCGACAGCAGGAGGCCTCCAGGCCACAGCCCCCCTGGAACTGCAGGGCCACCGCCGGAAGGGCAGCTGCTGGCCCTCCCAGGGCTCACTGCCACACCTCCCGGCCCTCCTCCTCACGGACAGGCCATGACGGCCATCAGGCCCAGCGTCCCCACGTTTGCCCTGCGAGGTCGACCCCAGGTGAGCACCCAGCTCTCAGGACTCCACCATGTTCACCCCTTCATGGGGTGCAGCCTCCACCTTCAAACGGCCTGTAGTGACCAAGGCGAGGGGCTGCAGGGGCTCCTGGTCATGACTGAGAGCCTGTGGGGCCACTGGGTCCTAGTAGAGAGGCTGCTACTGGGTCCGTCTGCTCAGTGGTGGTGAACGCAGCACGGGCAGCAAGTGGGCAGGAGGCACACCCTGGCTGTGGCGCAGGACCCGAGACAGGGACTAGACCTTACCCATGGCGGCTGGAGGCAGGCAGGAAATGGGCACAGTGGGGGGCAAAGGCTGACCACAAACTCCCATCATCTGTCTGGGAGGTAAACTAAATGCAAATATGATGAACAAATAAACATGGGGGGGGGGCGTTCCTGAGTGCTGAGCGGGGCAGGAGAGAAAAGGGGAGAAAGATGAGAAGGATCTAGTGGTGTGCCAACTATGTCAGTGACTGCTTTCTGAATGTGAGAGTGACAAGTGACGGGGAGCATGTAGTGAGCTGGACCTCAGACTGCGGGTGGAGGACATCTGGCCTGGGGCCTGGCCGTCCCTGGGACAGCAGCTCTCGGTGACGCAGAAGAGAGCCCAGCGCGGCCCAGGCTGGCTCCCCATCAAGGCCACAGACCTGCACCCCAGCAGGAAATGAGGAGGCTTATCTTTCCCTAAAATGAAGAGATTCACAATAGATTCCTGACAAACCAGAGCAACTGTTCCCTTCACTCAGCCCCTCCCAACCGCGGCACATGCGCACACCAGAGAGGAGAATTGCAGTTTAATTTCCTGCCGCAGTCTATAAAACAGATTAAGGAAATATAAACTCGGAGCCGGCTTGCGCTGGGAAAAGCTTATCTCTTTCCATTAAATTTTATTTTTTAATGGTAGCGTTTAAAAAGACCCTGCGTGTAATCGTCCACAAAGGACTTGTCTGAAGCCTTGGAGGGGATGCTGCTCCCCGGGCGCCTCTCACTGTCACACGAGGAAGGGCAGCACCAGTGGCCGCCGATGACACGCACGGCGCACTCAGGAAGAGAGGGTCCCAGGGCTGGTTTCAATCTCACCGCAGCTTTTTCTCTTAACAAGTAATTTCAGAATTATGGTGTATATTAAGCAAAATGAATCAAATCACATGATTTAAAGTTGCAAACAATAGCTTTCTTATTAATTTTTAATACAAATATATTAAGCTTATCAAGGATCTCATATGCTCTCTACCATGAGCCTGAGGGAAACCAATAAATGACTTCCTCAAGCATGATTTAAATATGGATATAAAATCAGAGGGAAACGAAATAAGGGCACGATAAGACCCTCTGAATCAGATCACAAGAGGGAAAACAGCACGTTTTCTTCCTCTGCCGCCTGAGGATGAAGGTGGATGGAGGGGCAGCGGGGGAGGGGAGCTGGGCGTCCAAAGGGGAATGTGAGAAGCCAGACCCCAATACATTAAGCAGCTCAGAGCCACAACAAGCCCATTACAATGGGCAGAACACTCCGGAGCCTTCTGTGGCCCGGCTGAGCACAGCAGCAGCACCCCTGCTGCCTCCAGTCTGCTCTACACCTTGAAGAACTCAGTGCAGGAACTGCTGCAAAGATCGGGCCTCTGGGAAGGCGAGATGCCTTGTTCACTAAATACCGTCTCAGCAGCGATAAGTGCAAGGTGTGGCCTTACCAGGAAGCGCTCTGGGCCAGCCAGGAGACAGAATTACAGCAGGACCCCGTGTGACAAAGGGAGATGTCAGGTGCTGGGGTGTCCAGAGGTGGGAGGGGGACCAGAGCAGCTGAGGAGGAGACCTCAGCAGGGGTTACAGACCTGGTGAGCTCAGGTGTGTGCCCTCTTCTGGTGGGAGTGGCTATTCCAGAAAAAAGAGCCCCTGTTGTGTTGCTGAGTTTAGCTCACCAATGGAGCCAATGAACATTTACTGAGCCCGTGAGGGGCCCGGAAGAAGTCCTCTCTCCTCCCTGAGACTCAGTTTCCTCAACTGAATAATGAGGGATTGGCCTCCATAAATTCTAGGGACAACCCAGTCTCAGACACAGAGCCAGGAGGTGTCCATTTGATTTTGTTTCCAAATATAGTTCCTGATTTCTAATTTAATCTGACTGTG